TACTTTTATTGTTACTCCCACACCACAGTTTAACAGACTGGCATTACCTACCCTCTCTAAATTGAAATCACACCTTGAAAATGTTCTCAACATTATACATAGGAATAGCTTTTTATATATTCAAACTTTATTCGAAAATGTTCTCAACATTATACATAGGAACATACGAATAGCTTTTTATATATTCAAACTTTATTTCAAATAAAATAATTTTTTATTTCAAGGAATTATCATAGTATTAAATAAAACTCTTACTAATTAATACCTAAGAGTAGTGTATTGATGATGATATCCAAGTATAAAGATAATATTTGCATAAAAAATAAAAGAAAAGCATGAATAACTAAATAACAACAAAATCACAAGATTTTATAACCTATTTCGGAATTAACTATGTATTTAATTAAATAAAAAAGCAATAAAAACACAAGGAAATTATCAATGGCACTAATTTTCATACAAGATTTTCAAAGTTAATACTAACTTTATTTTACATAAGGTTTAAAGATATTTATTTATATTTAATATGCTGAAATTAACTTCAATATATATATATATATATATATATGTGTGTGTGTGTGTGTGTGTAAGAAGTTACTTTTATCATCCCCATAAAATTATTAAGTGAAAATAACAGTAGAAAGAACGCCATCCACAAATAAATTGCAGTGACAATTATAAATTGAAATGTTGTGATAGCGGATAGTGAATCAATTCAGAAAGACATGCTTAGCATTGCGGATTAGCGTTTTAAAAGTATTTTTAAAAATATTTAGAAAAAAAATTATTTCACTTTAAATTAATTTATCCGAAAACATAAATGCTATCTCAGTTGAAAGTAACATTTTATATAACATACAGTGAGAGAATTATTTCTTTTTTTATGACATTTCAAAATTCAAGTTATTTAACAGAAGTGTTCGTGACAGTATCATGTAGATTTGTTATGCATCTTAAATCTTAACTCAGTTTGTCTCAATTATCTGTCATGAAATGGCTTGAGAATGTTAAAAAGAAATTGATACTTTTTTAACTAGATTTTTTATATATAAATAATGCTAATTAATAATGTTTTAAAATTCATGCTTTTAAAATTTAAGATGTTTAGAAATACAATTTATATAGTTGGATAATATATTAATTACTTATTTCTTGTAATATGATTTATTTTTTTTAGCCAAGATAAAAATTAACTTGATATGGGAATTTAAGGTGAGTGGTAGCTTGCTATACAAAATCAAGATAGATGCTAGCTTGGTGTGAGAAACCAAGGTGTGTAGTGGCTTGATAAGGAAAGTGAAGTATTTGTAAAAGATTTCTTTCAATAAATATAAGAATTCTTAAATGATTAAATAATTATTTTATAGAGATTATAAAAATAAGCAAATATGTAAAGAATGAAAATATTGTGAACCATTTACCTTAGTTATTTATAAAATATTTATAACTCATGGATCTTGTCATTTTAATTGAGTTTAAAGAGTAATTTTATTGTTATAAATTAATATTATAGGTTATTAGTTGTATTTCATTCAAATATAATAATAAGATGAAGATATAGTAGCTATAAGATATTTCTGTATAGAATCCAAAATAAAAGGTATTTAGCCAGTAAAAAATTCCAAGAAACTTGCCTGGGATCATGAAAAAACCAGGCTTGAAGTGCTGGGATTAGGTCACATTATTGAGCCCGATTGGTGTCTAAAATGAGCCCAAACATGTTGCTAACAACCCCCCCCCCCCTCCTCATCCAATTTGTTTCATATATATTAAAGTTTAATTTATTTCATTGTAAAGTTATATTTGATAATCTAATTCAATTGAGATTATAAAAAAAGAAAAAACATATATTATATTTGTATTGTTTAAGAATTTTGTTAGCCATAATTTGAATTACTACTAAATTATTATTATTTTTAATAATAAATCTAAGAGTGTAGATTTTATGTCAATATCTCTATCTAACACACTTTTTCAAAAAAAGAATTATTTATTATTTGCTAAGCTTGAATCATGAAAAGAACCTTTAATTAATTAAATAAAACTTTTGATATTACTTTCCACTAAATTCTGATTTAAACAAATAACTACAATTAAATATACTTTATTATGGATTAATTAACATTTGAATAGTTTGAGATTAGGATGACCTGATATGAGTAAAGGAAACTATTTAAAATTCTTAATATTCATAATAGTTTTTGAAAACTATATAGCATTAAATTATCGGTCATCTTAAGCCATATCCATGCCAGGAGGTGCATGATAATTGCATGCATGCTGCCATTGGAGTCTTGAAAGCTTCCATCATCTTCGATTTCTTCTATAATCACTATTTTATTTTTTTTCTTTGTCCTCAACAATGAATGACGGGTTGACAAGGATGGTAATATCAACAACATTTCTCAGAAGAATATCTTCCCCGGCCCTTCCTCTCAACTAATTCTCAATCAAATAATATTAACAAAAACAATTTTGATTTATAAATTTTAAATTCACATATGAAAAATGACTTTAAAAACATTTCACACGTGAAGCAATCAAAATAATTCTAGCAGTAAAATCGAATCCAAACCCAATGATCTATCCTCGTAAAAAAACCTACGTATGCGAGGGACAAGCCTCTTGTCTTGACGAAGAACACAAATGTATAATGACCAAGCGAGTGAAGATCCAAAAGCTAAGCCACCAAACTCTCACGACTTGCTCCTCCCAGAGGATCTATTCTGTAGGCATATATTTTGTGCCTGATTAACTGAAATCGATGCCCTATTTAAAAAGCAAGAAATTCTCACCTTAAAATGAAATTAGTGAGAGAGCTACAATGAAGACAATGACACAGAATCTCCTCGTGTTTGCGTTTGTAGCCACTGTAGTTCACGCATCCAATGGCAGTGAACGGAAGGTACTCTTTGTTTTTGTATATATTTTTTTTGAAGATGTTTTTTAAAAATTATTTTTTATTTTAAATAAATAAATAATTTTTAATATTTTTAGATTTTTTTGATTTATTAATATCAAAAATAATTTTAAAATATATAAGAATGAAATTAAAGGATGTAATTGGTAAAGAATAGTGGATAACAATACTATAGATTAAGATAATAATATAAGGAGTAAATGTTTTTATATTCTTAAAAAAATTTAAAAATAAAAAATATTTTAAAAAATAATTAAATAAATCTTTTTAAAATATTAAAACAGAAAGTTACATATTAAGTGAACCATTGGCTAATAATTTGCTTTGGGATCATCAGCCGTACATTGTCTACATGGGAGAAGCGCGTGGAGCGGGAATATCAACATCAGACGAACACCACAACCTGCTTTTGGCTGCTACCGGAGAGTATGAATCACCATCGTTTTACCCAAAATATAACCTCTTCTCAATTACATGTTTTTTTTTTTGGACAATAAACACGAATGCATGCTCAGTTCTTAATTTAAAAGAAAAAAAAAAAACATTAACGATGGAGGATGTAGCTGCTTTAATATTATGGTTTCAAAATGAAAACTGCAGGCTAGCTCTTAAGGGAATTATTTCAAAAATCAATTAAAGTAAATTATAAATTAGTATATGTGTCATTTATGATTTTCAGAAGCTATAAATTATTTTTTTCTAATTAGAATTGACTGTTTTTTTATCAGTTATAAAATAAAAATTGGTTTAAGAGCTGATTTGAGATTGATTGACATAAACCAGTTTAGATTAAAAAAACAAAATAAAAATTAAATAATTCCTCGCTAATCCGGTTGACTCGAGACTCTAGATAGGGTTCTACAATTATATAGCTTGTATAAGTGATTGGTGAATTTGAGTACAATATGGGAGAGAAAAAATTGTTACAGAGAACTCACATCATGACTCAGTTACAAATAAATATAAAAATACAGGACTCTCATAATGCATAGCATCCTGGAAAGCAAGTATAATTTACCCGTTGTTTTGTACGTAATAATTTCTTCGGCGAAGTGAAGCAGTTTCGAATACTCATAATGGCTTTAATTTGTTATTTAAATACTTTTAACAACAGTACATGCAGATTAAGACTTTTGGATGAGACATCATTAAATTTTATGTATTATTGATATCTTTCAGCGAATCTATTGCCAAGACTTCCAAAATATATAGCTATGGAAAGAACATCAATGGTTTTGCAGCTATGTTGTTGCCCCATGAAGTGAAGAGACTGTCAGGTATGTAAATATATATATACTGCTGATCGAGGATATCAATACTTGTCAAAGTGCAATCCAGCTTCAGACACATCTTGTGTTGCTCAAGTTATCTGTAACATTCTACATTTGATGCAGATGAAGATACTGTAGTGTCAGTGTTTGCAAATACTAGGAACAGACTTCACACAACAAGATCATGGGATTTTCTGGGAATGCCCCAGACAGCGAAGAGGAGACTTGATATAGAGAGCAATACCATAGTTGGTGTGCTGGATACTGGTGGGTAACTAAATGTTCCTTTATTTGACAAGAAATTATATAAAAAAGGGGGGGATTTTTTTAAAAAATAAAATAAAATTCTATGCTACTTTGTGTCCAGGAATTTATGTCGATGCTCCCAGCTTCAACGATGAAGGTTACGGGCCTGTCCCAGCAAAATGGAAGGGAAAATGTGTCAAGGGAGCCAACTTCACGGGCTGCAACAAGTATTTCCTTTCTGTTTTTTCCTGTCAATGGTGTCGACCATGAAGAACAAAAATGTGCTAATAACAAAATGAAATGCAACTCTCCTTTGGTGTAGTTGCTGGTTTTAGTTTTTTAAGATTATGGAAAAAACAGAGTTAAGAAAAAACATGAGTCAATCCATGATTAGATCTTAAATTAAGGTTATGATTCATTATAGCTCACAACTTTCTTAAAGCATTTTCTTGTTATTTAATTACCAACTCTCTGAAAAAACATAAGATAAAAGACTAACAACCAGGACTAGTGAAAACAGACAAAATTTAAGTCAATTTCCCTCTTGATGATTTGAACTCTGAAACTTTCTAACTTGTGGCAGCAAGGTTATTGGTGCAAGGTATTACAATCTTGAGAACTTCGAGGTAGAAAACCCAAGTCCAGCCGACCTAGACGGACATGGAACCCACACTTCCTCCACAGCTGCTGGTATTGCTGTCAAGGATGCAAGCTTATATGGCATAGCACAAGGAACTGCACGTGGAGGTGTACCATCAGCCCGCATTGCCATGTACAAAGTATGCTGGGGATCTGGTTGCAGTGACATGGATTTGCTAGCTGCATTTGACGATGCCATTTCTGATGGGGTCGACATAATATCAGTTTCAATAGGAGGGGCTTCTAGGAGTTTTTTCCAGGACCCGATTGCCATTGGATCATTCCATTCCATGAAGAAAGGTATATTGACCTCTTGTTCTGCTGGGAATAACGGGCCTTATCCAGGATCAGTCGAAAACGTTGCACCGTGGATCATGACAATTGCCGCTACAAGCATTGACAGGCAATTTACAACTGCAGTTAAGCTGGGCAATGGCATGAAAGCCACTGTAAGTTAATCTGTGTGTGTTTGAGTCTTGTCTTTTAATCACTCCATGAGTGAACATTTAAGAACCCATTCAGCAGAGAGCTCATAAATGCAGATTCAAATTTGCTCTGATTGATGATAGGGAATTTCAATTAATACATTTTCACCAAAAAAGGAGACATACCCTCTTATCGATGGAGCCCGTGCATCCAACAGTTCGGGAGATCACTACGGAAATATCAGGTAAGCGTCCGGGAATATGCTTCAGGGTATGTACCCAAAGCAACTTGAAAACTGAAGCCTTGTTTTACATCCCCTGTTCTTACTTGATTTCTTCACCGTGTTTAAGTCGAAATCCTAGGTGGATGCATGTCATGGTGCTTGTTTCTGGCTTGCATTTCCAATTCCTAACCAAGTGTTGTTGTTTTAAACGATGATGGCAGTGCTTGTGATTATGGGACTCTAAGCATGGACAAAGTGAAAGGAAAACTGGTGTACTGCCTAGGAAGCAACGGCCAGGATTACACTATAAAAGAGCTTCATGGAGCTGGAGTGATCACGTCGCTTGATGCACCAACAGACACAGCCTATCCCACCGTAATACCTGGAACCAGCGTCCAGCTCAAGGATGGCTACAGGATTGATGTGTACATCAACTCCACCAGGTACTTGGTTTCTGATCATACTCTTGAAAGAGCTGCTCCTATTACTATCTGAAAAATATATAAGAGCTTCCACGATATGGTAAACGGTGTCGATCTTTTTGGCGTTTGGGATAAATGAATTGCAGGAACCCTCGCGCTGTTATCTACAAGACAAGAACTACTTACATGAGTGCTCCCTCTGTAGCATCTTTCTCATCAAGAGGACCTCAGTTGATCAACCTCAACATCCTTAAGGTGGGTGAGACCTTACTAGTTTCTTTTATGTTGGTTTCCACATACTAAAATTCCCAGTTGGACAGCCTGATATTGCAGCACCAGGGCTGGGTATATTAGCTGCCTACTCAAAACTGGCAACAGTGACAGGGGATCCAAATGACAGCCGATATTCCCCATTCAACATTATATCAGGAACATCAATGTCTTGCCCACATGCTGCAGCCGCCGCCGCCTATGTTAAGACCTTCCACCCCGACTGGTCACCTGCTGCGATCAAGTCTGCACTCATGACTACAGGTGACAAAACTCTACTAAAACCATATTTACTAGGAAGAATTTTTTATTGATAGCGTGCTCGAAAGTGATATTCCAATGCATCTCTTTTCTGATCCAGCCACGACTATCAAGATTAAAGACGTAGATGCAGAGTTAGGATCTGGATCAGGGCAAATAAACCCATTGAAGGCCGTGCACCCTGGACTTGTCTATGACATTCCAATGAGTTCGTACATTAGATTCCTATGCAAGGAAGGCTACAACAGCACAACCATCAGTCTACTAATAGGCGGCAAGAAAAAGTACAGGTGCTCCAACTTCCAGCCTGCGCAAGGCACGGATGGCCTCAACTACCCTTCCATGCATGCCCAGCTCAAGAGTGCCGAATCCAACATTTCCGCTGTGTTCTACCGCACATTGACTAATGTAGGGTATGGCAATAATTCAGTTTATAAGGCGACCGTAACTTCACCAAAGGATCTATCAATCAAAATTGTACCAAACAGTTTGAAATTCAAACGGCCACACCAAAAGCAATCTTTCAAGGTTTTTGTGGAGGGTGGTTCCATGCAAAACGGGACTCGAATCCTATCAGCTCTACTCGAGTGGAGCGACTCAAAGCACATTGTTAGGAGCCCTATTATTATCTACAATTCATCGCAATAGGTACTCTTTGTGTACTTTTTTACTCAGATTTGTTGTCTGCTCGTTTTTCATAATTACCTCTTTAGTATTAATGTTTAAGTTAAACTCTCCTACTTTTTCCTGTAAATAAAGATTTCAGTAATTGCAGAGACGCATCAATTCCTTGCATTTTATCCATTTATCTATCGCACTGCAATCCTAAACGTTAGGCTGTTAGCTTACTTAAATTTTACCGGAAAGAAGGTTCTAATAGAATCATGCGCACAGCACCTGCACCCGTCTAACACCATCATCCTCATTTTGTTCATTGTCTTGTACTTGGAAATCATGTTCCTCAGAGAAAATTGCCTCAGCCCACAAGTAGCATTGAGAAAACACCCAACGCCAAGAGTGGAGCTACACCAGTTTTTTATAAGAACTAGCTCAGGCATTTCAAACAAACAACGAAAATGTTAGTCTCTTGAGTGCATTGGGAAAGAACCTAATTATCCACAGTAGCCGCTAATTACAAAAGTGTCAGCAGTTAAAAAGGGATCAGAACAGGCTTGGGGATGGACTCGTGTTTTTGGCCATAACAGTGTTATAATTAGAAGATGCAAAAGTACCAGCAATCATTCTGGCGAAGATGATCAAAGACCAACAATTAAAACAGATTTCAAGACGCTAAGCCTAAACCCATGGATGAGCTTTCAGAAAAAGATACATCAGCTTACAACATGATGTTACAAACCATTAACTAATTTTGAAGTCACTCTGTTTTTGCTGCCCTCTCCATCTATTCCATCGAAATGGCAGCCTCACTTTGCTAAATTATCCATTTCGACAGCAAACTTCAAAAGACAGACAACAGGGGAAAGAAATCGAATAAGGTTACACTCTTGAGGTATTGTTGTCTTCTTAATTAGAAGCTTTCATCATGTCGAGCTACTGATGCCAAATAATAGGGCTACTAAAATTTACCCCAAATTCAACACGGCTGACAAATAAAGAGCTTTGGAACCTCAAAACTTGATAGGAGTCCCCAAAGATTTGACAAATAACCGATTCATACGCATTCGCTTTAGAAGTGTTTTTTCCTGCTTCCCAAATCCTTCCAACCAGCTAAAGCTCCTGGAGAAAAAACCCATCCAAATCTACGCCAAAGACTCAACAATTCAATCGACATTGGCGGCCATGGAGGTTTTTTAGTTTTGTGAGTTCCTTTCTCTTCCTCCTTGCCTCTGCTGCAGAAGCTGCATCCACTAGCTTCTTGCTCGGGAATTTAAATGGGTCTTGATTCTTTTCTGGTAAAACACACCTTAGTTGACTAGCTTTTGTGCAAATACCATTAGCACCAAAAGCATACTCTGACTTTTGCCCAGCATCATTTTTAACAGCTACTGCAGGCGTACCAGAAGTTGGAGGCACAGGAGTAAGAATCATTTCTTTAGGGTGAGTTCCTTCGCACTGACCACCTCCATACAGGGTAAATCCTACTGGCGTCTCATTTAGATCATTGATAACCCTGACTTCTTCTGAGCTATTAGTTTCTGATTTAACTATAAGGGATAAAGAGGACTGCCGGTTCTTCATAGGCGCAGCAGCTTTTGGAACTATAAGGGAAAAAGAGGAATGCCGGTTCTTCATAGGTGCAGCAGCTTTTGGAGATAAACTACCACAACATAGATTATTCAGAGAAGTCCCATCTTGTCTGTGTTTAAAGCTAAAAGAAGGCTGAGCATGGAGTCCATTCCCATGATCAGGACCTGGAAAGAACCATGGACAGGAAACTACATATAAGGGTGTCCTTGGGCCACCGACAATTACAGTGTTTTCTTGTTGCAGCTGTGATGAATCATGTGTTCCATTAGTTGGCATGGGCATGTTTGACGGAATTACAATGGCATTTTCAGTTGTATAATGTGATTGGATAGGATTTGAAGATTGAATAATAGAAGCCCAGCAATGAGGTGAAAATGCATGCTGGTTATATACAAGTAATGGGCAGTTTGTAGGTGCAGTAGTAGGTATGTCAACGAGGGCTGGCTTGAGGTCTCCAGGAGATGCCTCCATCTCAGCTTTTATTTGCTTAGCCATCTGGAAAGATTGGAAATTACAATAAAAAGACAAATACTTTTCTGTTGTCTTGTTATGATCAACCAAAAGATTTGATCCAAGAAGCAGGAGAAACAGGGGAACCAATATGGGGGGTGATCTACAACTCACCTGTGCCTTTAAGTGTTTATTTGTGGTCTCTAAAGACTGATAGTTTTTCAAGGCCAGCTCTTTTTCCTGCATGGAATGAAATTTCGTTAAATATGAAAAAGCTTGTATTAGCATAAGATAATGGATTTTTATGCAAGAATTAAAAAAAAAAAAAAGAAGCTAAGAACTTGAAAAACTTCGAAACTATTACCAAAATGTTTACGTGCAGAATTATTTAGTATCAATATATATAATAATAAAAAAAAAAAAACTCTTGGTGGGAGATGCTGAAGTTTCTGGAGAAGCAAAAATGCCTCGTGCCTACCTTCTTTAAGTTTTCATTCTCCCATGACAGATCAGCAGCTTTTCTAGTTAACTCCTCGCACAGAGCCTGAAGCAAGAGGGCAAATACAGTAACTGAGAATCAGCATGACTAGACATAAATTACCCACTTCAAAGATTAAAGAGTACAAAAATAAACGTTTATACAAGTAAAAAGAACAAAAAAATAATTAGGCATGCACATAGAAAATCTTATAAATATATAATGGCAAGTTGTTGTTAATTGAACTAGATTTGCTCGAGCAATAGAAGAAAAGGACAATATATGAGTAGTTAATGGCCAATTTAATCGTGGACCTCTCATTTGATCTCTATTACAGCTAAGTGCAGTTTGATTTGACGAGGAAAAATAATCTATAAATATGGGCCTTCGTAACAGATATAAGCTACTAGATATTTTTATAGCCATTCATCATTGGGCAACGCTTAGCTAAAACTCAAACAAAGAAGCAAAACAATCCACCAAATCAAGCAAACATAACATACCTGTCTACGGCGAATAGTCTGTCGAGCGGACTCTCTGTTTGCCAATATTCTACGCAGTCTTCGCTCTTCCTTTTCAGCCTGTGTGGAAAATTCAGATGGTTATACTGAGGAAGCAGCGAAGCAACATTGCAGCCCCAAAGAAATTAATATTTACCTCAGTTAAATTTAGCCTTGACCTGCCAGTGCCATGCGATGGGTAACTTGTTGCACAACTAGGACTTGATTTTGGCACATCTGCATCCAGCTCTTGTCTTGCAGGCTTCACTACATTTCTATGTATTGGCTGCTGATCCACAACTGCTCGATCCTGATATAAACCCAAAAAACATATCTCAATAGTGCTACTACTTTCGGTGCATCTAGTGATACAGGGCAAGCAGTATAGTCCCGCGTAACAAATTTAGACCTCGAAAAAATTTTACAAAAAAAGAAGAAGAAATGAAAGTGAATTCTGAAAGAATTTCCGGTAAGATTAGCATTAGCAGTAGCATTACTGTTTAAACTAAAAATACATTAATTAATTCAAATGTTAAATATTTTACTATACTCCACTTTTATTTATGTGAAGCGGTGCAGAAGCAAAATTGACTTAAAAAAAAAATACGCTGAAGTACTCTACTATCTAGTTAATATGAGGAGGACAGCAGAAAAATAAAAATAAATTTAAAAAACGAACCCGGGGGAGATCGGAATAAGTGGAGACCGAGTCAGACTCAGCCCTGACTCGCTTCCTAGCTCGTTTGCCTTTGCTTCCCCATTCACTGCCGCTGCTCTCTCGCATCGCTAAATGTGCCAAATCAGCCAATGCCTCCGCCGCCTCGAGCTCCATCCGATCCGCAGCCGACGAAGAACCCGAACTCGAAACCGAACATCTCTCTAAATCCAAATCCATAACCCGGAACCCAAATAGTTATTATTACAGGAAAGAAAGAACGAAGAAAAAAACCAAGAGACAAATATCACTCACTCAATACTTCAAGGGAAGGTAAGGTAAGGTTAGTGTGAAAACTTAGAAGTAGAGGAGAGAGGAGAGAGACTATTACTCCTACTTCTCTCTACTACTGGTTAGCTTAGCCCACAGATTCTGTGCGTTCGCCACGTGTCATGCCAGCTCGCTGCTCAACATCTTTGGTAACTCGCGCCCTTGCATCTCTGCTTGCCAAGTTTTTTTTAGCCCACGTTGGCTGGCTACACACCCGTGAGCCCTCGCACGTGCGCCCAACAGGGAGTTTCATTTTGGGTAACAGGCCATAACGTACGTGGCAAGGCTTTGGATATACACATGGAAATGATAGCATATCTTTCCACGTGTCCATTTTGCCGCGTCTAGGTGAGCCGGCGAAGAAAACTGAGTGGGGAAGGCGGCCATTTTGCATTTACTGTTGTTTAATTTAATAAATAGGACATGCAGCTGCGGAGGGGGCTTACAGCTGTTGAGTACGAAGGTGACACCTGGTTACTTACAGCTGTGAGCTCATTTAGGCTTTGTTTTTGTAATGGAAAGCGTTTTTAAAAAACAAAAAGAATCGTTTTTTTTAATTATTTTTTTCAGTGTTTTTGATATTTTGTTGTTTTAATTTGAAATTATTATTTTTTTAAAATATTATTTTAATATATTTTTAAATAAAAAAATTTTAAAAAAATAACCATATTTTTATTCACGTGTCCCGACAAGACTGCTGGTTGGTGGAGTTAGTTGGGTCCACTTTTTTATTACGACCCTACTCTGCTCCGTTTCTTTTCATTTGCAATTTACCTACGTGTCGTCAGTACAGTAAGTTTGTGAATCCACTAGAATTGAATTGTGTGTACGAATTAGGGTTTAAGTTTCAGAATTATAGTTGGCAATTTACCTACGTGTCGTCAAGGCAGTAAGTTTGTGAATTCACTAGAATTGAATTGTGTGTACGAATTAGGGTTTAAGTTTTCAAAATTACAGTTGGCAATTTACCTACGTGTCGTCAAGGCAGTAAGTTTGTGAATTCACTAGAATTCAATTGTGTGTACGCATTAGGGTTTATGTTTCAAAATTACATTTTGCTATCAATATCCACAATCCACGTTCTTTTTTCTATTAATACTAGTTTGCATGCCGCGTAGGTATAAAAACAATTAAACGTAAAGGAAAAATATTCAGGTATTGA